GTACGGATCTCTGAAGGGGTGCGAATGGCTAAGACGAGTGCGCGCTGTGCGAAGCTGAGATCCGCAATTTGAACGCCAACCGCCCCCGTGTTTGAACATGGTGCCAAGTTGTAATTCGGGGGTGGACAGAACCCCCAACAGTGACACGTCGATTAGTGAATTGTCCGGTTTCGGTTCTCGAGAGGGCGCCGTGGCCGTTATTTTCTAGACTTGCGCCCGCCAGATTTGGGCCTCAGGTCGTTTTCACCAAACCACGTTTTACTAAAGGGGGGTCTGTCCATCCCCGAGTAAGACGACTGTGCGTCGGTTCAAAAGGCCAAGGGCACATGTTTAAACCAGGCCGCCTTCCATGTTCCAAGTTGTTGTAGGCGTGGTGATGCAAGGCGCGCGGCGCCAAGGTGGGAACAGCATTTTGAAAAGCCGCCCGCCACCCATACTTACAATGGTTACACATGTCAGGTGATCCAAGGTGGGGAAGCCTCGTGCGAACCGCGGGACCTGCCCTGCTGACACGCCTTGGGTGGGTTACAGAGAAGACTTGCCCATAAGGAAAGCACAGTCAAGAAAGGAGGGAAGGACAAGGCGGAAGAGTAGGCCGGAGGAGGAGGGAAAAGGGGGCGGAGGATAAGAAGGAAGTTGTTCGTTTTGGTCGGTTCCAGGGGGGGGGGGACATGGACCTTGGCCCATTGAGTGGATTTCGGTCGGGGAAGGAAAGGGGGAGGACGAGGAGGAGGAAGAGGAGGAGGAGGAGGAGGAGGAGCAAGCAGGAGGATGAGGAGGGGGGGGGGGGGGAGGAAACAGGTGAGGGAGAGAAGCATGGTTGCGTATGTCTCAGACCCTGAAGCCCCCAGCCAAAGGCCAACGGGGGAGCAGGAGGAGGGAGAGGAGGAAGAATAGGAGGAGGAGAAGGAGGAGTAGGAGGAGAAGGAGGAAGAGGAGGAGACGGAAGAGGATCACGGAAAAGAGGAGGAGGAGGCGGACGAGGAGGGGGGGGAACAGGTGAGGGAGAGGGGCATGGTTGCGTATGTCTCAGTCCCTGAAGCCACCAGCCAAAGGCCAACGTGGTAGCAGGAGAAAGGAGAGGAGGAAGAAAATGGGGGGAGGAGGAACAGGAGGAGGAGGAGGAAGAGGATCATGGAAGAGAGAAAGTGGAAGCGGAGGAGGAGCAGGGAGCGGAGCGGGAGGAGGGGGACGTAGCAGGAGTAAGAGGAGGATGAGTTGCAAGTCAGCGTCGTCATGACGACCCAAGTGCCTACATTGTCATGAGGAGACCCCTGAGTAGGGCGATGGAATGAGGAAGGAAGAGGAGGAAGAGGAGGAGCAGGATGAGGTGGAGGAGGAAGGGGAGGAAAGGGAGTAGGAGGAGGAGGAGGACGGAGGACGGAGGACGGGGGACGGAGGACGGAGGACGGAGGACGGAGGACGGAGGAGGATGGCGGAGGAGATGGACGAGGAGGATGGAGGATGGAGGTTGGGGAGGGGAGGGGGAGGAGCAGGAGGAGGAGGAGGAAGAGGAGGAAGAGACCTCCATCCGCCGCCGTCGTGACGTCCTGACAACCCCCAATCTGATGCAGTCAATCCTCGACCCCAGAGATTCCGACCCCTCCCCGGGAATGCTTTTTGTCCCCGATTCGTTTTTGACGGCCCTGGGGCGCGGAAGTGGCCCTCCCCCACGAGGGCAGAGATCGAGGAAAAATAGCCGGGATTGAGAATCGTCATTTCTGATATTTGTGGGGATAGGTTTGGATTGCGGGGACAACAGGGTAATTAGTGCCGCTACTCCCCAGACATCTCTCCTGGTGTGCGCTCTGACCAGGATTCCGAGGAGAAATCAGCTCTGTCGGCGAGGCATCCTCTCTAGAGTGAGCGACGAGAGCGAGGAACAGCCGCTGGTAGAAGGCAGGGCACGAGGCAGGGTAGCAGGCGGGTAAGCGGGGAGGAGAGGAGAGAATTCGGGAGGCGGGAAGGAGGGTAGAGACCGCAGTGCTCTACATTCAGCCCGCATACTGAGGATGAGCGACGTTCCCCAAGGTTACCATTGCATCCTTCCCCTTCGGCCCGTCCTTGGCCTTCGCCCGCAAAGTGTTGACGTGGCCTCCCAGGGCCATTATATCCTTACCGTGCGCCCTTTTTCTACGGGTCAGCTCTATTCCAAGCGAGACCCCAACGCATGGGGGCGGCGTCCTGCTGTCTTGCCGTCTCCGGGAGGAGGAGAAGGAGGAGGACGAGGAGGCGGACGAGGAGGAGGAGGCGGAGGAGGAGGGAGGAAGAGTGGGAGGAGAGGGAGAAGGAGGAGGAGGAGGAGGAGGAGGAGGAGGA